CTAGAAACTCATGATGTGTTACTAGCGTCACGTGTCGTAACAGTAATTTATAATTTTTCATTATTTCAAAATGCATATTTAAAACGTATAAAAAGATTATTTTGTTTCACAACCTCCACGTGGGAAATTCGGCAAGGTATATTATGCAAGGTACGGCAAGCGAGTATATATTTTACAATCGAATAGTAGTAGAGATCATTGTTTTCTATATTTCTTTATTTACTGTTATTTGCTTTAAGAAAAATAACTGAAATTTAGGAACTTACTTGTAAAGAGTAATAATATATACATACATTTGTAATGCTTTATAACCGAAATGTGACTATTTTACAAAATATAAAGCATTTTGTAAAGGCCGGTTTTATACTATTGGATAGTGTAACATGAGTGCACGTGCGCTGCGTAATTGCAACTTCTCTAATGTTAGCCAGACATGGCTGAAAGATCAATAACATAAATATACCTAGATGTATAATGTTATGAGACTTAAACTATTTAGACTAAACATTTGTCGTTTCATGTTATAATTAGAATGAACGAAAAAAAAATGTAATTTATATATATTTCCTAATATTCTATGGTAGTTATGAGGTCCATCAAATCGGCCAAACCTACAGAGAGATACAATAGTGAAAACACAGATAAAATATAAAGTTTTTCTATCAAGAAAAAAACATTTGATAATTATCTGGAGGTTATAAAGATTTTGCAACTGAAATTTGGCAATTTTTGGTGCATAAAAGTATTTTTAATCTTGAAATCAAAATTACTTCGCATTTTGGATAGTCAACATTCGGAAAGAAAAAATGCACCAGCAGATCATCATTTTAAAGATCTTAAAACTTATTTTTTTAAATCTGATGTTTTGTGTACGAAAGCCTTGTAATGTTTACTGATAATCTGCAAAAGTTCGTGAAGATACGCGTCCTGTATTAAAAGTTATAGTATGAAAAATATAACAAGCATAAAACGAGTACGAGGTCGGTCCCTGAGACTGAGCCCTGTAGTGAGAGAGTTAATGCGTTTACACTAAATTTAGGGACCAACATTATGGCTACCACACGTCAAGTGTTATATACAGTGACACTAGACAACGCACAACCCCATTCAGTATAGACTTCAGTGTTCCTAATTAACATCAGTATTCTCCTTAATATTTGCTCTACAATTCTTAGAAATGTTACCTTTTATTGCATAATTTCTAAGTTATTAAATATATTTTCTCTTTATTTCGTTATATGTATATTCAATTTCAAATAATTATTCTTTTATATTTTTACAGGCTTTAATAGACCGGAGAAAGAAGGTAAGCATCCGTTATTAAAATATGTTTTAGTTCAATAAGTAAGACTTCCCAACATTTCAATGAATATGTTAAATAAGGTACAATATATTGGATATTGTTTTGAGACTAAATGTTGATATATTGAACTTTTGTTAATAAAACAACCTATTTGTAACAATATAAAAAGTGCAACACCGCTATGGCACCACATGCATTCCTAAGTTGAATCCTGAAGTATTTAACTTTATAAGTTCTGACCTGGCCATTGGTTATTGTAGAGGACTGATATTTGGGCAAAGGGAAATGAACAGTAAGCTTAACCAATTGATGTGTGGTATACTCAAATAACACCTAACACCTTAGGGTGATAGGATATGTCCGCAGAATAACAGTATATTCAACGAGATATTTGTATGAAGTAATAATTTCTTTCACTGGATGCCTGAATTTGTGAGAATGAAATAAAAATACTGAGCACACTGTTAAGTATAAACAATCTTTATTATATCATGAAACACAAAAATGGTGTGTGTACTTTTAATGATGGAATGTTACTTTTACTAGATTGGAGCTATTCTCACTAAGTAATCAGGCCGAGGTTATCTACTAGACTGTTTAACTTCAGTGTGTCTTAATTTACAGATAACATGGGATTTTTCCAAAGCGACTAGCACTATTCACGTGGCTGGTCATTCTCATTCAAGCATAGGAAGACCATAATCTCGAAATATCACGTGAAATACCATTGAAGGACGCTGCTGTCTACATTCTTGCACAACGTGCAGCATTACAACCATGCATCTCTAAGGCAAAATAAGTGTGATATTGTTGCTTATCTGCTTGTTTGATAATTTTCCGTAAAAATTCTTTCCGAGAAACTTCGGCGATACAAGTCCTTTCTTAATTAAAACTAGTTTATTCTTTCTCGATACAACTTTACAATACAAAGATTTTCCACATTCACTTTAAAAGTTAACTACTTTTATAAACACATGTTATAATTTACAATGATTCACACACTTTACTTACGTGCCTACTGCTCGCTTGACTCAATTATCTATCTCTATATCTATCTATCTGCAATCTTTCTCTGCTTTATTTGCTGGTCTTATATACAAAAATAGAGGGCACCTGGAAAAGACTAGAGTTGCCAGAAACAGTCATGATCCTTCTAGAAACTTCAGCGCGCATGCTTCCAGCGTCGCGTGACTTCCGCTGTCGTAACAATATCAATAAAATAACAGAGGAACAACAGCAACTGGAATGAAATCAATTTAGCTACTTTTATAACGACATGTTATGTAAAACCTGCACTTATTCAGAAATAACTGATGAATATAGAATAACTAGTGAAACCGTGGACCTATGGCCCACATTTACAAAGCCACTGTATTGCAAATTTAATGCTTGAACTACTATTTTGCACTTTTTCATTTTGATGACCATTGCTGCTATAATGCAAGTTTAATTTCTTTAATCAAATTACGAATGGTAATTAGTAGGCCTATTTATTTACGTGCTCTAATGTAAACCATTGCCAAATTTAGGGTCCACTTTCGGGGAATTCCCCTAAAAGTGTTTTCGCGAAATTCCCGGGTTTTCTAAGGGTGTGTGAAAAGTTTTACCTTATGCATATCTCTGGCCAAAACAATTCATTTGGCACCACTTAAAAGTTGTGAGTCTAGAAATTTAGAAGTTTTTTGGGAAATCCCCAGGTTCCCCTAAGAGTGGGGAAAAATATTTTATTTTTGTACAAACATACAGACACTGAATTTTATTATGAATATACCGTATAAGTATAAGAAGGTAGGAAACATATGTTGTTTATATAGTATCACACTTTTCCTCTTTCTATCTTTAACATAGATATCACAAATAAACTAATGAAATAGTTTAAAATTCAAGCAATAGACCATTTTAATCCCAAAACCTGCAAATCAACTCCCACCTGCATTAAAGACAAAATAAAAACCCTTTAATTACAGATATAGGTGCTGAAAATAACATTATATACATATGTACCCAAGCTGTGGCTACAATACAAAAACAAAAACCTTTTTATAGAAACAAAAGACTAAGATAAAATGCAGATATACATGTAAAATGTACAACCCATTATTTAGAAATAATTATACATAAAATATACACATCAACAGCAGCAGTTTCTCCAGCTCTACATACCCTAATTTTAGTTCTAACAGCAAATCCTGTAAAGAAGACAGTGGATTGAAGACTGGCCGTACTGGTTGCTAGAGTATTTCTAAGGTCTAGGCCAAGGCTCGCCTGATTTGAGCCAGTTATGTCTGCAATTGGCAGTCCTCTTCTTCTAAGCAAAAGAGTGGAATTTAATACCAGTGCAGATGGTCTTCTTCCTAGTTATATGTGGCCCAGATGTCAATATATTTTGCAGCCACCTCTTGAAATTACCACTTTAGTGACTGGATCTCTTGCTCTGTAAGGACTATAGTGATGGTGGTGGGTGAGATCATCAGCAGTTCGACCCTCATTTGTCTTGATGTAGTTTGCTGGAGCCCTTGGCCAATGGTTGCTTGACTGATGATAGTGTGGAGATCCCCTGTCACATCTTGACTGTATTCCATGGAACTTTATTTGGTATTTGGCTGGGCCATTGAAGTGGAAGTCCCTTCATTAACCCTTAAAGTCCTTGCCATCATCAGTGGTGGTGTTGCAGGTGGCAAGGTTCTCACAGTCAGCTGTTTCCTGCTAATGGTAGTCTTTCTCTCAATTGTATGGGATGGTTGTAATCTCCACCACTTTTGTGAACAGAACTAGTCAAATCCTTAACTGACGTCTTTTTGTTGTCATTTCATCATTTAGCTGTTCCTTGAGATGACTTCAACTCCAGAAAGGTATTCTTGGGCTTTGGTAGTTGTCTTGTCTGAAGGTGGGTGCTCATCTGATGTATTTGCGGGGTGGTAATCAAACACCCTGCAATGGAATACCTAAAGAGAGGTTCCCAAAGCTGAAACATCCACCTGGATTCCTTCTTATAGAGAGCTGCTTCAATTGGCCATTTTGGTTGGTTCAGTCACTGCCATAGAGATGATGGGCTGTGATAATTTATCCAAGACTGGGATTGTCACTTCATCCAGCTGTTGGTTGCACTTGTAGTAGAATTGTGACCAACTGAGGCTGCCAAGTCCCAAACTTCAAGGCCAGCCCAACAACTGACTCAGGCAAATCCATCATGTCAGATGTGATGACCAGCAATACATTATCCATGGGCTCTACATGGTTGAATGTCAGACCAGATCCAATGAAATTTGGCTCCCTATAGAGAAAGATAATCCAGAGCAGATTGGCCATTATTATAGCTACTTTCTTCCATATCAGTTTGAGTAAAAATATGAGAAAATTTGGTACAAAGAGAAAATAATTCTGACCAGTTGAAGAATAACATAGTCAAAGTGTCCGAGAGTTTGATCTTAAATATCGAAAGTCCTGGATTGCAAATATAAAGTTAGATAAATTATAATTGGTCATAATGTTATCCAGGTGTGTAGATTGAAAGATAGCCGTAATAGCCTTGTTGCAGCCATTACTCATTTTTAAAAACTACCTTTAGATGGAATAACTAATGGAATGCCTTGGTCAAGTGACATTTCTATGGGCTTCATATGTGCTTATGTCCTATTTGCCCATAGAAGATGTGTCTCTAACATGTGAAATTCTCAGTCCCCTCTAACTTATCTATGTGAGCAATACGTTATATCTTTGACGCCTCTGTTGCCATACCTATGAGAACAGCCAATATATCTTACACTTTGACCCAGAACTATTTCCTCCAGTACCATCTGGTTGTTACATACACAGCACCTAGTTTCAATAGGTAAAGTATGAGGTCAAGACTGCAGACTTGTTTCTACATGCGAGCTGATTTAGATTAGTAGACACTAACCCATACTTCTGACTGTTAGAAACCATCAATATTTTCGTCATTTTTCTGTAATAACTTTCTTACAGATACAAGTCTAGCTTTAGCAAGTTTCTGTTTATCAAGTTTCACCATGTGTATGTTCCATTCTACCCCACCTCTTCCTATTGCAGTTATGGCCTGTATTTGCACACATCTTTAACTATATCTTGTACTGGTACAGTGTTTAAGATATTTAGAAAAATATGTTTATACAATTTTTAAATTTGATCCAACTGAAATATCTTAAACAATGCTTACCGAACAACAAAGGGTAAAACTGTGTTTTCTCTCAGACTTCTATGGTTACTCTTATTCTTCTATGTAAATTCATTACCTGCCAAATATTTCGTTGTTGAAATTGAAACTTTCTCTTACTCGTATTATTAAAAGTGACAGGTGCACTTTATCTTCAAATAATACATTATAGGTCAGTAATCACATTTAACTGCATATTACAAGGTCTTAACAATCAGCTCAAATTCTATGCTTCCATTCACAATTTGCTTAATAGTTGTGTTCTTTATGTACTTGATTCATTCATATTATGCAATGTGTATGAATATCTTCAGATAATGTAATACACACAAGTGAGACCACACACTTATATTTCTTTGTACACATATATTTCCATATACACATTTTTTTGTACACATATATTTCCATATACATATTTCTAAATTACACATTGTCTCATACACTAATAGCCTAAAGAGACTGCCTCTATCTCCAATGCAGATCACTGCATTAATTTTTTAGGGTTACATCATGCAAGCTAAGTTTCTATAGCTACAGTATAGTAATGTGCTTCCATCTAGAAGCCTTCAAACTCAGCTCAGTTTTCTTTTGAGGCATCACAAAATAAATCATCACCAACAGATCTCAGGTAAACTAATACTTTTTTAGTTAAAATTCTCAAGTTAGGATTAATATTTGTGCTCTTACTACAGAATATGTCAATATACACTCAGAGAAAATGCAAGTACATCATTGCATGTGGAGAAGCTCTATTCACTTTAAGTGTACTTGGAAAGATCTACTGACGATTATGCAGTATGCTCCATAGAGCTGTTGGCACTCATCTAGA